GGACCTATCCACGTCATCATTTACCCAGAATGCTTTGTGTGGAAATAAAATGGCTCCGTCCGTGTAAAGTATTTTTAAACATTTAGTTTATAAAATGTAAAAACTAAAGAGCCAACAATATTTTTACAGTCTTTATTTTGCAGTTAAAATATATGTTTGTTAAATAAAGTCTAATACTACAACTAATCATGGATCCCTTTAAAGATGAAATAAAAAAGTTGTGAGAAGCAGGAAACGTTACAAATTGTTTTTGTGGCGGTGTTAGTTGGACGGGGCAGTGGTCACAAAAATACACTGATGTTCAATAGTTTGCTGGTTGCAAACGCACAGAACTCAATGAAACTGCAACATAAAATGTGTCTATTTTCACCCAGTTTTCTCTAAATTGTGTTTCCCACTAGTGTCCATCAGTCCCAGCTCAGTGAGATATTGGATTAACAGAGGAGCACCTCCCTGAGGGCTCCACAGATACGTCTGTGATGCAGTTTGGACACTGTGGCAAAGCAGCAAACTCAGTAAACCTTTCATTACCATCTGCTTTATAAAATTAAAATAAAAACACCAAACAATTTGCAAGTCATGATTGTGTCATTAGAAAACATACAAGTCCTTAATTAAGATGAGAGTGTGAGAACTTATAATTTAAATATAATCACCAGGAAAGCAGCAGAGTAATCTTTGTTCCAGCAAATCTATCCCAGAGGTAGTGGCAGCTTTAAACAATGATTAAACTAAGTGCTGCGTCCACACACTGACATCTCTCCATGCATCACCTCCTGTCAGCTGCAGCAAACTGGGTCAATGGATTTCTGGAGGAGGACCTTGTTTCATGGAGTTTAAATACATTAATGAACACAAAGCCTGCCAAGCATGTCTCTCCTGTTTTTGAAGAAGCTTACTTCAAGAAATATAACTTCATGAGCAGATAGATTTAGTTTATCCCATGTCATTTCATACTCACACATATTGTTGCACTTTCATTAGTCAGTAGCTGTGTTTCCATTCACCATGAAAATGCGCAAATTAGAATTTCGAAAATAAATTTGCTCAATGGAAACACGTCAATTTCGAAAAAAAATTGTTTTTCGACAAAATGTTTTTGCGCTAGGATGAGGTGGTTTTTCGGCCGTGTCGAAATTGGTGTTTTTTGCAAAACTGCAATGGAAACACTTTTTTTCGCATCACAGGAGTCACGTGATCAACAACCGTCTGTTTCTACTGGTGAAAAAGACGATGAAGAAGAAGATAACAGGACGTAGAAGTAGTAGTAATATCACAGTAGTATAAAATAGTAAACTCAGCGACTACAATTTCTCAAAAACACAGCATACGTAGCCGCTCCCAAGTAGGGACTTGTCTCTGGAAAGCCTCGATAAAAGACGCCGACGTCTCCTCTGATGATGAGCGCTAGTGTCGTGGTAGCAACATGCTATGTGTTTACAACCATCGCCGCCATGTTTGTAATGACTTATCATGAGAACAAACGTATTCACGTGACTTTAATAACATTTCTTACTTAATGGAAACATCGCAGTGGCAAAACTGTGTTTTTGACATTAACAGAATATCGATAAAGTTTTGTGCACATTTGCAGTGGAAACACAGCTAGTAACTGAAGTTCTGCTCATATCGTTAATCTCTAACGTGAAATTTCAACACATGAATGAAAGGTTTGTTTATGTCAACACTAAGAAATGTGCTACTTTGCCACAGAGATCAGCAGTAATCACATGATACAAAAATCATTCAGAAGGTTCCAGATCAAATCCCCAACAGTTCAACCGTCCAAACCCCAGGGATACAGCACAACCTTGTATTCTCAACTATTCAAGAAAATGCTTTTTTGTTGTTTATTTGTTTGTTTGAAGTTATTTTGAAGAGCCAGCCTTCAATATGCACACGCAAAAAAATCAACCCCCACATTGAACAGCTTCATCTTTGCATAAACAGTTTCAGAAGACAAGCTTTGTAAGATGTCTGCTACTAGTTATAGATTTAATCAGTGATCACACATTTACAGACACCACAGAGTCAGAACAGAGCTGGACAGTTCCAGGAGGTCATCTTTCATTGGGTTTGTTGAATTTACAGTTTTCCAAAAGCCTTGGCACTGGAGGCACATGTACTGAGAGCCAGATGGGTCCATCATGACCCCTTTGTTTGGCCWAAGACAGCAGATCACCTGCTCAAAGAAAAGACTAACCTGGCCATTTGACTGCACCCMCTCCAACCCCCTACGATTTTTCATCGTCGATACAACAAGACACTGTCCTAAAGACAAACACGCCCAAATAGAACTGAGAGATTGTCTCCTTTCGCTGTGCTACTGTAGCCGCTCAGTCATTTTTGGCCTTTCCAAACATCCAGCTCAACAGTTCACTGTGCTTGGCTGCTGTTTGCACACGAAGTCCGATATGAAGTCAAACTCGTTCTGTCCCAGGAAGAGCTCCGGCAGCTCCTGAACGCGATCCAAACCAAACTCCAGCACCAGAGAAGTTAGAACTTCCTCGTCAATTAAATCAGCGTCCATTCCATTGAGCCCCAAAGGCCCGCCAATGTGCTGAATGCCCGAGAGCTGAGCCGGGCCCACTCTGTACTGAGCTCCGTTGGCCATGTGGTGGCCACCGGCCGAGCCCAGCGGGTGTCCGTGATACTGAGTGTTGAGTTTTTGCAGGTGCATGCTCGCCATGAGTTGCTGGGAGGTGAGGTTACCGGGGTGGTACTGCTGCGGGTGTCCACCCTGCTGCTGCTGCTGGGGGTGCATGTGGTGGTGGTGCTGCTGTGGGCCCGGACTGTTATACATCACGTTCCCAGGCATCATCTGGTGATGATGGCTGACCATAGAGGCTCCATTCACATGGCCACCCATTCCTCCCGGTCCCATCATGTTGGATCTCTGCCTCATGGCAGCCTCGGAGTTGTTCTGAGGGTTCCTTCCGTAGTGCAGAACCTGTCCATTGGGAAGTCCGCGCTGGCTGCTGTGTTGTGGAGGTCCATTCATGCCCATCCTGAAGCTGTGGGCCATGGGCATCATCATGTGTTCAGCCATGGCTGTGTGGTCTCACCTGCAAACACAGGAAAATGGTTTAATGTTTAAAACAACCAAAGGCTCTGACGAATAAATAAATATACAAATTTAGAACTTAAATTTTTCAGAAGCACTGAAACACTACACTTATTTTTCCTCCTTTAAAAACACAAATCTTCATATTCAAATGTTTCAAACTCAGTTCAGAAAGTACAATCTTCCATTTTAAGAAAAATACCACATTTTATACTGTAAAGCCATAAAATCGTATTAGATCCCTTTAAATAAAGCCTATTTATCACTGCACTAGTTTGCTTGTGTATCATTATCTTTAACACATTAAACTGCTTTGACAGAGAGAATAGACATTACACTTTTTTACATCTAGAGTGCCAACCACAGCAGAAAGAGGTGACAGACTCTGAGTAAAGGACCAGTTAAGGCTGAGTCACACTACAAGATATTAAACCAGTCGGCTGATTTTCAAAGACTGATGGAGCCCACACGTGAGGATAAAA